AGACTGCTGCATTCTGGATCCTGTTGTTCTAGGACCAATCAGACTGCTGCATTCTGAATCCTATTGTTCTCGGACCAATCAGACTGCTGCATTCTGGATCCTGTTGTTCTAGGACCAATCAGACTGCTGCATTCTGAATCCTATTGTTCTAGGACCAATCAGACTGCTGCATTCTGGATCCTATTGTTCTAGGACCAATCAGACTGCTGCATTTTGAATCCTATTCAACTCAGTACATAACACTTTGTACTTCTGTCCATTTACTGTTTTTATTTTCCCCCATTTGAACTATAAAATGGTGATTTTCTTGAGTCAAAATGAGAGTACCCCTAAACATTTTTTTTTAAAGAAAAAAAGCACTTTGCAAAAGATTACAAACTGGTGTGCAGCCGAGGTCAAAACGTGGTGGGGTAGAGAATAAGAGGGCAGTTTTCCCTGGGCTAAGAGATCCAAAGTGAGTCTGACCTGGGCTGCAAGCCCATCACCGTGGATGTTGCAAGCTCTGCTGGAGGCTATTAGGCTCATGTAACATTTTGCAAAATGAGCTGCTCATACACACCCCGCTCCAGAAGAGACAGACGGAGAAGTATTTTGCAGAATCTTCTATTTTCAGAGTGGCAGCTGTGTCAGTTTCCTACAGCTGGCCTGGGTTTTGGGATCTTAACAGGAGATCTTGCCACCTTCACAGGCAAGTTTGGTGAAGATTTCAGAGAGGGCCTCCTCAGGGGCTGATCCCTGATTGCCTACCTGCCAACATTTCTCTGATGAAAATAGGGACATCCTATTCAATTATTATTATTATTATTATTATTATTATTATTATTTTACTGTTTATAGCCCACCCATTTGACTGGGTTTCCCTAGTCATCCTGGGCAGCCTACAACATATATTAAAACATTAAACATTTAAAAAACTTCCCTATACAGTGGTACCTCGGGTTAAGTACTTAATTCGTTCCGGACGTCCGTTCTTAACCTGAGGTACCACTTTAGCTAATGGGGCCTTCCGCTGCTGCCGCGCCGCCAGAGCACGATTTCTGTTCTCATCCTGAAGCAAAGTTCTTAACCCGAGGTAATATTTCTGGGTTAGCAGAGTCTGTAACCTGAAGCGTCTGTAACCTGAAGCGTCTGTAACCCGAGGTACCACTGTATTGGGCTGCCTTCAGATGGCTAAGGGGTCAGGTAACTCCATCCAGGCATGGCCCTCCAGCTGTTTTGGAACTACAATTCCCATCATCCCAGACCACTGGTCCTGTTATCTAGGGATGATGGGAGTTGTAGTCCCAAAACAGCTGGAGGGCCAACTTTGGCCGTGCCTGCATACTCTACGTCCTAAGGAAAAGCGGGAGATTCTGGGATCAAATCAGAAACTGGGACGGCTTCTGTAAATCCAAGATCGCCCCTGGAAAATAGGGACACTTGGAGGGTCTGTGACTGTGGAACTCCCTTCCACAGGAAACTAGACCAGCCTCCTCTTTTGCTTTGCTTTCACCAGCAGGCAAAGACTTTTTTTTTGTTTAGACACGCCTTTGGCCACAAACTGGCTGTTGCAGCAGGGTCTTTTAATGATGGGTATTGTATATTTTCTTCTCTTATACGTTTAAATGGTTGTAAATTGTTTTGAATCAGTGCTGTCCTTCAGCATAGGTAAAGGGACCCCTGACCATTAGGTCCAGTCGTGACCGACTCTGGGGTTGCGGCGCTCATCTCGCTTTTTTGGTCGAGGGAGCCAGCGTACAGCTTCCGGGTCATGTGGCCAGCATGACTAAGCCGCTTCTGGCGAACCAGAGCAGCGCACGGAAACGCCGTTTACCTTCCCGCTGGAGTGGTACCTATTTATCTACTTGCACTGCATGCTTTCGAACTGCTAGGTTGGCAGGAGCAGGGACCGAGCAACGGGAGCTCACCCCGTCACGGGGATTCGAACCGCCGACCTTCTCATCAGCAAGTCCTAGGCTCTGTGGCTTAGCCCACAGCGCCACCCGCGTCCCTGGTAGCAAGGCAATTTAATAATAGACACAGAGATGGCTGGCAGAACCCTTTCTGTTCACACTTTTCTCACCGTAAATTAATGAACCTTAATGTGGCTGAATTCTACTGAATGGAGATACTTCTCTTAATACCTTTCGCAACAACCCCATTAATTTTAATGGGTCGGAATTGCAGTCTAAACCAGCAGGATGAGGGCGTCACCTTTTTCAGAATCTGATGCCATTGTTACAGCTGTTGCCCAGAGATAAGCTAATCAATTACATTGCATTAAGGAACTGATAAGAAATGAAGATTCAAGGAGCAGAGTGTGACTCATGAGGGACAGAATCATATGCTATAAATGTCTATGCACCAGCCGTGTGAAAAAGAAAGAGAATCACTGGGAGTCCATGATTCCTGCCTGTCCCACCCCCACAACCATCAATAACGCCCTAGTAATTTAATAAGTACCGTATTTTTCGCTCTATAAGACGCATCAGACCATAAGACACACCTAGTTTTTGGAGGAGGAAAACAAGAAAAAAAATATTCTGAATCTCAGAAGCCACAACAGCAAGAGGGATCGCTGCGCAGTGAAAGCAGCAATCCCTCTTGCTGTTCTGGCTTCTGGGATAGCTGCGCAGCCTGCATTCGCCCCATAACACACACACACATTTCCCCTTACTTTTTAGGAGGGGAAAGGTGCGTCTTATAGAGCGAAAGATACGGTAATCTTTAAGATGACAAAAGAACCATGCACACACATGAGCACAGCAACGACGACGGCCAAGAGTTCATAAGTGTGCATAACTTTAAAAAGAATAAAGAGAGAAAAGGTTAGCAATAAGGCCAGCTCCTGAGTTCTATTACATTCTAACATTAATGGTCTAAAACTGGGATGTGCAACAGGTCGATCGTGATCTACCCGTCGATCTCTGGGCATCCGTGGTCAATCCTGGTGGATCTTTGCCCCCCCAAAAAGCTCAACAATTTTGGTCAATCCAATGGGTAGATCACTGCCAGTTTATTTATAGTGGGAGTAAATCGCAGTCTCTTGGGAATTGGACATGCCTGGTCTAGAATCCCCAAGGACATGACGTTTGAAGTTGGATTTGTGGGATAACCAGCCTTATGTAACTAACATGCACTAAGGGGTTAAGACCATAGAGTAAGCTGTCCTGCCGGGCTTAACTATGTCCACTTCCCTTACCTTGGGAAGAAATAGGAAATCAAGCCACCAGTCTACCTGAGAAGCTCAGTGTGTAAGGAGATTTGAGATTTCAGCTCAGACCATATGGCAACCACAAGCCACTCTTGAGTTGCTATACCATACTTTAAACATATGGAGTCTACATACAGCCAAAGTATGGTTAGGATTGCAGCCTCAGCCAGCTGCTGTTGGTTATTGTATTTATTTGTTTATAACTTGTTATCTAAGTTTAGGTGACATATTTGGATGACAAAGCTAAAGTAATTGGGTTTGAAAATTTCTATGTATAGAGCAGGCTGTTTAACTTGGACTCTGCTATGCTCTGTTGAATATCTACTAAGACTTAGGTGGATAAAATTAAATTTGCCAAGGTACTAAGTACAAGAATAAAGATAACCACCCTTTGAGAGAAAACAGGCAATAAATCACGGCATCTGTTTTTAGAAGATCTAATTCGGGATTCTGGCTCGGCACCAGAACACAAGTTATTTTAATCCTATCTCCTACAAGAGCCGGAAATCTTCGCCTGAACTTGGAAAAAAACTCAGATTTTCCCTATTTATCAGAAATGGTCCCTATTTTTTGGTACCTGTTCCTAGTACACAGCCTTGGTCCCCTCCACCACCGTACTTACTCATCAGTCAAGATCAGAGAGGATGCCAGATATAGTCCAAGCTCTGACGTCCAATACGGATTGGGTCTTCCCTACCATTCTTTTCCACCACAGATTTCTTTATAGTACCAGAACACATAATGGGGGAGACAGCCGCCATTACTGCTGTTTAGACCAGAGCAGAGTTCCCATCTGCAATGATGCCAACATCAGACCCCAGGGCTCTCACTTGTGGGGTGCCTCAGGGTTCTGTCCTCTCCCCCATGCTTTTCAACATCTACATGCAGCCGCTGGGAGAGATCATCAGAGGGTTTGGGCTGGGTGTTCATCACTATGTGGATGATACCCAGCTCTACCTCTCTTTCAAATCAGAACCAGTGAAGGCGGTGAAGGTCCTGTGTGAATGTCTGGAGGCGGTTGGAGGATGGATGGCGACTAACAGATTGAGGTTGAATCCTGACAAGACAAAAGTACTGTTTTGGGGGGACAGGAGGTGGGCAGGTGTGGAGGACTCCCTGGTCCTGAATGGGGTAACTGTGCCCCTGAAGGACCAGGTGCGCAGCCTGGGAGTCATTTTAGACTCACAGCTGTCCATGGAGGTGCAGGTTAATTCTGTGTCCAGGGTGGCTGTCTACCAGCTTCATCTGGTACGCAGGCTGAGACCCTACCTGCCCATGGACTGTCTCACCAGAGTGGTGCATGCTCTAGTTATCTCTCGCTTGGACTACTGCAATGCGCTCTATGTGGGGCTACCTTTGAAGGTGACCCGGAAACTACAACTAATCCAGAATGCGGCAGCTAGACTGGTGACTGGAAGCGGCCACCGAGACCACATAACGCCAGTCTTGAAAGACCTACATTGGCTCCCAGTACGTTTCCGAGCACAACTCAAAGTGTTGGTGCTGACCTTTAAAGCCCTAAACGGCCTTGGTCCAGTATACCTGAAGGAGCGTCTCCACCCCCATCGTTCTGCCTGGACACTGAGGTCCAGCGCCGAGGGCCTTCTGGCGGTTCCCTTGCTGCAAGAAGCCAAGTTACAGGGAACCAAGCAGAGGACCTTCTCGGTAGTGGCACCTGCCCTGTGGAACGCTCTCCCAGCAAATGTCAAAGAGAAAAACAACTACCAGACTTTTAGAAGACATCTGAAGGCAGCCCTGTTTAGGGAAGCTTTTAATGCATAATAAGACTATTGTGTTTTAATATTCTGTTGGAAGCCGCCCAGAGTGGCTGGGGAAACCCAGCCAGATGAGCAGGGTATAAATAAGTTCTTGTTCTTGTTGTTGTTGTTGTTGTTGTTGTTAAGCATGCCCAGAAGCATACCTGAAGCATTGAACAGCAGGCTTAAGGAACTCCTTGTTGCCTGCAGGGTCATGCAAGGGGTGCGTGATCCCCACTGTTAAGTCTTGACCCTGCTAGGGCCTTTATTACCCTATGCACATATTAAGTGACATCACTGTGCATGACATCATGAGCAGGCCAGGCCCTTCATCAGAATCATTTTGCACCAGCACAGATTCCAGTAAGTGGAAGTCCATTGCACTGCTGGAAATGTAAAGAAAAAAGAAGGACTCTTTTATCATATGTGGTGGTCTTGTAAGGTAGTAAAAGCATTCTGGGAAATGATATACAGTGGTACCTTGATTTATTAACTTAATCCGTTCCGGAAGTCCATTCTTAAACCAAAACCATTCTTAAACCGAGGCGTGCTTTCCCTAATGGGGCCTCCCGCCACCGGTGCCCTTCCAATGTTCGGCTTCCGTTCTTAGACCGAGGTAAAGTTCTCAAACCAAGACACTATTTCCAGTTTAGCGGAGTTTGTAAACCAAATCGTTCTTAAACCGGACTGTTCTTAAACCGAGGTACCACTGTATAATGAATTGGGGGGGAATGTTTAAATTAACTTTTATTTTAAGAAAACCCCGGAGGCCTTTCTATTAGGAATTGTAGGTGCAGATATCCCAAGGGAGCAGAAAAGACTTTTTATGTATGCGACGACAGCTGCACGGATGCTATGAGCCCAGAGATGGAAAGGAGACAAAGTCCCTGTCAGAGAGGAATGGCAAACTAAGCTGGTGGACTATGTTGAAATGGCAAAACTGACCGGAAAGCTCAGGAACCAAGAAGATCAAAACTTCGACAAAGAATGGGGAAAATTTACAATTTACCTAGGAGACCACTGTAAGCAGATGAAAACATCAGCAGGATTCTAACAACAAATAGCAAATATTATGGACAATATGGAGAGATATAAAATATAGATTATGAAATACTATGCATTTGAGAAGGTGTACAACAGGACCCATAGAGGGGAAGGTGTGAAGTCCAGAGATTTGGAGAAATCTCTAAATATGGATATGTAATTTGGATTGCTATAATTCCATATTTGTAAAATCAAAAAATATTTAAAAAAAGAAAAGAAAAGCCACCAACAAGTTGTGCATGTGCAAAGGGACAAAGGTGAAGTAACTTTTTTCTCGGGCAGTGAAAATGCTGTGGCTGAACCAAAGTGTTATTTATGCAGCTGACCAAGTTTCAGAAACTGCCTCGCATCAATAGCAGGAATAACTGAAGGCTCAGACAATGATTCCTAAAGAAACATCACTTGACCAATTAGGATGGTAAGACAGATCTCGGGGTGGGGTGGGGTGGGGGTTTAGAATCAAACAGTGGGTAAATTGAGTTTACAATGGTATTTTAACAGGAGATTTAAAGAACTCCCCATTGACTGAATCCATCCACAGAAATAAGACAACTGAAGCGCTAAGCAATAATAGATCTAGTGCCAGATTTGGGATTTATAGGATTACCGTACTGTACACAACTGAAGGACGGGTGATCGCATCTATTTTCAAATGCTCCATCAGTAACTGCATTCCCTTTCTCTCTCTCTCCCTGGTTTTGCTGAACTATTGAAATCTGGAGGGGAATTCATTGCCTGGAAGGCTGCTTAGATAGCACATTCCAGATCTCATGGGCTGATCTCTACTGGAATCCGGCTTGTGAATTCCACAGAGGGAAGAGACTTCCTATCATCCCACATGATGCCAATCCATCCAGCATGTGATCCAAAGGCCATTCCTATCTGCCTTCCGGCTCGTATTAATTTGAAATGCGTCCAGAATGTAAAAGCCCTTAACAGATGTCTGCAGCTCCAAAAGCAAAAAAGGTCAAAGTCCAGCGTGGTTTCCACACTGAGAGGTGTTAGGGTCTCAACCCTGCTTTTATTTCCAGATTTAGCGAGACAGCTGGCCGGACAGTGCCAAAAGGGTTATCTGCCATGACCCAGGATGTCAATAGTGGATTCTACAATTCAGAATAGAATCAGTCCAACAGCAAAAGGTTCCCAAGCAAGGAACATTTTTTAGTACCCTCATCCATTTGTTCCACATTTGCACGCCTTAATTTTTGTTGCATTGATAGCACATTACACAACTTTGATGCACAACTGCATGCATATTTCCCCAAATATCAATATTAGCACACTAAGACCTGGAAATTTGTATTTGGGCCTATGAATGGACCGGTTGTTGCATGTTCCATGCTGTGAAGTATATAGTCCAAATATATGTTTCATGCTGTGAAGTATATAGTATATATGTGATTAAATGTTCCCCAAGCCCTGCATTCCCTCCCCAACAAATGCAAGCCTGATGCCCCAGGTAATAAATAAATAAATAAATAATAATAATAATAAATGTTATTTATAACCCGCCCTCCCCAGCCACAGCCAGGCTCAGGGTGACTAACACCAGTAAAATTACAATAAAAACATAAGGGAGGGAACAATTTAAAATACAGGTTAAAATGCAATTTAAAATGCAGCCTCATTTTAAAAGTAGCCGATAGATCAAAACCACAAGAGGAGGGAAACATAAGGGTCAGACTGAGTCCAAACCAAAGGCCAGGCGGAACAGCTCTGTCTTGCAGGCCCTGTGGAAAGATGTCAAGTCCCGTAGGGCCCTAGTCTCTTGTGACAGAGCGTTCCACCAAGTCGGGGCCAGTACTGAAAAGGCCCTGGCCCTAGTTGAGACCAATCTAACCACCTTGCGACTCGGGACCTCCAAAGTGTTGTCATTTGTGGACCTTAAGGTCCTCCATGGGGCATACCAGGAGAGGTGGTCCCGTAGGTACGAGGGTCCTAGGCCGCATAGGGCTTTAAAGGTCAAAACCAGCACCTTAAACCTGACCCTGTACTCCACTGGGAGCCAGTGCAGCTGGTAAAGCACTGGATGAATGTGATCCCGTGGCAAGGACCCCGTGAGAACGTAGACCCCAATTGTTCACTCCAGCTCTAAGGGCTGCACCGGAGGCTAAGCTTTAGAAAAAGTCAACAAAGGAATGTGTCCTCTGTTTAAAAGTATGCGGCCAACATACACTAGTATCATATAATGCACTGGTGCACAACTGGGGAGTAGGTTGCAACAGGAGCAGTAAAGGTAAAGGGACCCCTGACCATTAGGTCCAGTCGTGACCGACTCTGGGGTTGCGGCGCTCATCTCGCTTTATTGGCCGAGGGAGCCGGCGTACAGCTTCTGGGTCATGTGGCCAGCATGACTAAGTCGCTTCTGGTGAACCAGAGAGGCGCACGGAAACGCCGTTTACCTTCCCGCTGGAGTGGTACCTATTTATCTACTTGCACTGCATGCTTTCGAACTGCTACGTTGGCAGGAGCAGGGACCGAGCAACAGGAGCTCATCCCGTCGCGGGGATTCGAACCGCTGATCTTCTGATCAGCAAGTCCTAGGCTCTGTGGTTTAACCCACAGCACCACCTGCCATACAAATATATGGTTTTTTAAAAAGCCTTTTCACACACACACACACACACACACACACACACACACACACCTTCAGTCTACCTGATAATCTCCAAGTGTGAGGAGGTCTGAGCTGGTTGTTGCAGTTCAGACCACATGGCTCTTAAGTTCGTATATCAATAGTTTAGGAACTTTCACCATTGGAACTAAGCCAAGTTCTACTGCCTGTGCAACTTTTTCTGAATGCCGTATGGAAAAGCACATGAACCAGACCTTTGAAGAGTTTGTAAATAAACCAATTTTACACTTGCAAAACGTGTGGCCTTCACCTATGCTGGAGGAAGAGGGAAGTTTTGGGACTCACAAAGGCATATTTTAAAGGTCTATATTTCCACACTTTGCTACATATTTTGTGATTTTAAATCTCTGCTGGGGTACTTGGGATCTTGGCATCCAGGTAATTCTTTTTCTTATACCTACTTTCTCCCTTGCAACCAACAGAAGATACCTGCTATAATAAGTTACTGACACTTCAAAATAAACTTCACCAGCAGCAGCATGTGAAATAGCATCGCACTAAGATGCATAGCTGTCAACTTACAGATTTGAAAATAAGGGACCAGCAGCCTCAAAAATAAGGGATCAGCAGCCAAAATAAGGGATTTTCCAAGCACAGGTATGTTCAGCTTCTGAGCCCCTCCAAGCCAAAGGCAGAAAGTCCATCCAGCAGCCAAACGAAGCCTCAAGCGGTGGTTCCCACAGCGCAGCAACCCGGCAAAGGGGATGCAGCAAGGAAAACCACCGTCATCTCTCCGCTGGGAAGCGCTGAGCAAAGGCGAGTCCCCAGGCAATGCAGCCGATTTGATTGGCAAAAGGCATGCAAGCTCCACCCCCCAGTCGTTCTTAGACTCCTTATTGGGTGAGCAACGCAGCCAAGCAACACAGTTGGAGCCTCCCTCCTCCTTGGCCGGCGGCGGGGAGGGAGAGGAGCTGCTTCCTTTGAAACCCGGGAAATTTAAGGGACATCATCAATAAGGGACAGCAGCGGGACACAGCGCTGGGATAAGGGACTTTCCTGCCAAATAAGGGACAGTTGACAGGTATGCTAAGATGGAGCCACAGTTGTCAAATGCACAGATTGACACGCATCTCCACTAGAGGCAAGATACAACTCCCCGTCTGTCCACAGATTTAATTTCTAAAGAAATGGGAAAGGGAGGTAGAAGGGGAGAGATGACAGCTTATGTAGAAGACGGTTATAGCACTTTCAAAAAGTAACCCTGCAAATCTCTCCAGAACATGCACAATGATTTCATAGGGATGGATGCCAGACAGCTTCAGGTAAATATGGAACCATGTGGAGCAGACTGTATCTGACTGAAGGTTTAGGATCAAACTAGATACTGTCAGCATGCAGAAATCTGGGAACTCTCCTCACTAAACTATTCAAAGTGGGTGTGGGTAGCTGAGGTTTGCAGCTAAGGAGTGTTTATTTCCCCTTTCGCTTTCTGCATCCCCTCTTCCTTAGCTGGTGTTCTCAGGCGTGCGTTCAATGTATCATGGAGGAAATGGAAGGCAGAGAAAGGGTTAAGATGCTCCTCTGAAAATTGTTCCCCCAGATACGCCTCTGCAAGCACCTCTGGTTCTGCCCTATCATATTAGTGAAAATATAATTGACGTTTGCAGTTTTCTTGGCCCCCAGGAAATGGTTGGAACTTCAGTGTTGGCATAGTTTATAGAAAAAATAATTACGGTCTTACAAAATATACGGTTTTATTTATCAGTTTGCTTTGTTTGTTGCTGTTCTTGCCACTCCAAATAATGACAATGGGGGAAAGTCATCAAACACTGACAAACAGTAGAAAGCTGGTGTGAATTTTAATCTGTTTTTAGTGTTTTAACTTTTTATGTTCTCAAGTGCTGTAATTTTTTCTTTATTGTTGTTGTTGTTTCTAAACCACTTCGAGGTTGTTGGTTTTTTCCCCTTTTTCTTTTACGGTCACGCAGCATATAAATTTTATAAAAATAAATAAATCAACGGCTCCTTTGCCTGGTCATGCAGGACTCTTATTTTCTAATGACTGCCTCCAAAGAGAACAGAGCGCAAGAGAAAATGTTCTAGGACGGTAATAACAGAATTTTACCAGGGTGAATTTCCTTCTGCGTTTTCTGGGCAACTCTTCAAATGGTACACGGGCCAAGAGGAGTCTTCGTAAAGCACAGCCTCAAAGCATGCAAGCAAGAACTATTTACTGGCAGTACAGGAGATAGCTGCTGCACAAGGATTAAAAGCAAGCCCAGAAATTGTGCCCCTTTCCAGTAAAATTCATGGCTGGTAGTAACTTGTATAGCAAATAATAATGAAAAATCGCAAAAACAAAATGCCAGGAAACCCTATTAAACAGTTACTTGTAAATGATCTCATGGCAAAAATCACACATTGTTGGGAATGTTGAATCAGATCGTTACAAAATCTATCTCCCCCCAAGCGGACTCTTACACATCCTCCACACCAAAGTTCTTAAGCATAGGCTGCATTCTCTGCATCGGAGCCTGTAAATGACACGAGAAGCCTTCTCCAGGTGACTTTGGCAGTTTAACCAACCTTCTCTTATTGCTACTCCAACTCAGTCACTTGCCTTCCCTCCCAAAGTCCCTTGCATTTTGGGGGAAGTCAGAGGAGAAGAGGACACATGCAGCTGGAGGAAAGGTGAGCAAGCAAGTACAGTGGTACCTCGGGTTATATACAGGACAGGTTCTGGCAGATTGAGCAGACGAAACCAATACAGTGGTACCTCGGGTTACAGATGCTTCAGGTTACATACGCTTCAGGTTACACACTCCACTAAGCCAGAAATAATGCTTCAGGTTAAGAACTTTGCTTCAGGATAAGAACAGAAATTGGGCTCCGGCGGCACGGCAGCAGCAGGAGGCCCCATTAGTTAAAGTGGTGCTTCAGGTTAAGAACAGTTTCAGGTTAAGTACGGACCTACGGAACGAATTAAGTACTTAACCCAAGGTACCACTGTATATGCATGCCTAAATACATAATTTAATTTGTAGGCCACCTTTCCACCATTCAAACCATGCTCAAGGCAGCTTACAACATGAAAAAACCCCACAACATAACCAAAGTAGTCATAAGCAGTAAATAAAACGTTTAAAAAATGTACAACCAAGCTGAACCATTTCCATATAAATCACAAGATCTAAAATATTCAAAAGACCAACCTCAACAACACCCCCCCCCCAAAAAAACCCAACAACACCCTAGCCTAAGGGCTTCAGTTTTTGGAAAAGGCCTGCAAGGCAGGGAGCAGGGTTTTAGCACTTACTGTCAATATGGTCTCTAGCCTCTTGAGCAGCTTCAGTTTTTGGGCAGGGGTCAGTCAAGGCACCCTCTCCAAGACCGGGGGGGCGGGGAGCCTGCAAGCCAAGAAAAAGGTCTTCCAGGACTCACAGCCAAGATGGGCAAGCAGCAACAATGAGTGTTGGAAAACTGGAGTAGTAAGCAGCCGCAATCATTGGAGTCACCTGGAAGCCTCTCACCAGGTGGAGTCTTGTTAACAGGTGAACCAGAGCTCTCTGTACGAAGGGCCAAAAACATTCCAAAACCTTGAGGTAGCTGCAACTGGTAGGGGACATTTCAGTTTTCTTCTTAATGCAAAACAACACTCAACGCTCTCTTTGGTACCATAAAAATAACAACAATAATAATAATTTATTATTAATACCCTGCCCATCTGGCTGGGTTTCCCCAACCACTTTGGGTGGCTCCCAACAGAATATTAAAAACATGATAAAACATCAAACCTTAAAAGCTTCCCTAAACAGGGCTGCCTTCAGATGTCTTCTAAAAGTCAGGTAGTTGTTTATTTCCTTGACATCGGATGGGAGGGCGTTCCACAGGGCGGGCGCCACTACCGAGAAGGCCCTCTGCCTGGTTCCCTGTAACCTCACTTCTCTCAATGAGGGAACCGCCAGAAGGCCCTCGGAGCTGAACGATGGGGGTGGAGAGTGGGAGGCCAATTTGGGAGGGGTCTGTTTGCAAGGGACTGTTTTTAGAAACAGCCCATCTTCTCTTTATCAGAATTTCCAGGTGCAGTTTATGAATTTCCAAACCAATAAGAATCCATTGTATCCATTTGGCAAAGTTTTAGCCCTGTGCCATCTCAGCCGTCAGTGTTGAGCTGCAGGCCTAGCCACGTGAGCTTTCAGATTTTGCATTTGGCTGCTGAGCTTTGCGCCAAGCCTTATTTAAGAATTGGGAATTTAATGCTAAAGATAGCATTTTCAGAACAAATGATGGCTCCTTCCTCCTGTGGATTAAACTTTCAAAAAAACTGCCTTTCAGATGAGCAGCACATTTTCACTTGGATGCCGTGACTATTTTTCAACCCAAAATAAATAGATTTACATTGAAATAAAAAAATTAAGGTCTTATATATATAATAAATGTTCATAAATGTACCAAGCAAACACGTACATAAATATATAAACCACATGTCTGAAGCAGCACAGGAAAACAGCCCTGAAACCATTTTGACTCCCAAACTGACCAAATGGTTTCTCTGCAAGGTTGAAGGAAAATGGAAAAGCCTCCCCATTGTCTTTTCATTCACAAATCCTGTCTTAAGGGTATGTCTGTGTATGAATAGGGTGAGCCTGTGACCTGGCTCAGGAACTAAGTATTTATCATTACAAAAGACTGGCCAGGCTCCCCAGGCAATCCAAACAAGTGACCATTAAACAGATAACCTGGCAGACAGGAAAAACAACATTCAAATGTCTGTTGTAGACCACCTTTTCTGTGATGTAGATATGTGGGGGGGTGGTAAGCATTAACAGGTAATCTGCCAGGCAGGAGGAAAACAACACACTCAGATTTCTGTTGTAGACCACCCTTTCTGTGGTGTAGGTATGATGTGTCTGCGGGGTGGTCTTGAGCTACACCCCTTCTGTGATGTATGTATGATGTTTCTGGGGGTGGTCTTGGACTCCAGGGCGGGCAATTTAAAATGTCTATATAAAGGCGGGCATGCCTTGGTTCTGGGTCCTCCTCCTTCTCCTGCGTGTGAAGGGGGCACCCTGTTGCAACAGTTCAATAAAGATCAGGCTTACTAGCTGCTTTGCTTCTCAATATTCTCTGGTTAGCCTCTGTTATTTTCTCCGACCGATGGAGAACCTGCAAAGGACTCTATAAGGGCTTTTGTGTTCCCCATTACAACATTATTTGATTTATTTGATTCAAAATGCATGTTTTCCCCAGCTCATGGCTTCCAGCTTCATGCAAATCAAGCACCAGTCCCTTGAAGTCTTGCTCACAATGTAAACTGAACCTGTGCCTTTGGTGGGGACATAGAAGGTGCAGCAAGTTTAGTAAATAAGAGGGGCAATTCAATTTTGTGTTTGAGAAACACAGAGTTAGGGAAGAAATGATTCTTGAGAAGCAGATTGTGACTTTGCAGTATTGTTCTCTGAACAAAAGACAAATGAGGACCATCAGCCCTGACTTTCCATACTTTTAAACCTCCAGCTTTTTGTGTTTTGAACAAGCCATTCAGGGCCATTCCTCATATTACCTTTCAAACTCATCGGGACACTTTTGCAAGGCTTCTTATCAGCTAAATATAGCGTGGCAGGTTGGAGCATGAACTAATAAACTAATTAGCTAATTAATAAATCTCACACCAACCATGAACTCACTTGAGCGACTACTTTATCTTTTAGTCTCAGTTTGCAGTACGGGAATTTGCAATATGAGGATAAGTAAGAACTATTCCATACGGCAGTTTGAAGGTTTACTGAGATAATGCAGGCATCCTATATGAAATACTATCTCTATCCAAATGCTAAGCATGATCACGACCAGTGCTTATGACTAACACACCTAACTCCTAGTGCTAGAACAGGGAAGAAGTAAGTAGACCGAGGACGGAGAATGTCACAGATATAACAGATTAAGGTCAGCAAAAAGGCTACAGCCAGACACAAACTTTTCGTCACACAAATAATCCCATCTCCTGAAAACAGTTCCATTGACGTCAGCAGTATGAATGGTTCGAGTAAGGATTACCTGTTCAGCAAAACCCTTTTCATGATTAGATTAACCTATTTTAGAAAGTCTACAAGATACATCCCTGTTTGTTGTAATTAGTCTGTAGCATCTACATAGCACACTCATTAAAAAATGGCTTGAGTCTGCAAGCTGCGCATATTCTGTCAACTTAAGCTGCCATTCTTCTTTGGTTGGTTCCATTTTTGGGCTATCACCTGGGATTTTCAGTCTGAATTAATCCCCAACAGAAAGGACTCTGGTTTTTTGGGGAAAGTAATTTTAAACATAAGCTTGCGGACTTAACAAATAGAATAAGAGAACAAGAAGAACATACATTTAGAGAAGGTGGGGAAACGTTTATTTGAATATATGGGAAATAATTGTGTACAGCTGAAAACGCTGGCAGCATTAAGATAAATTCAACAGGGTAAATAAGTTCTGATGGATGCAATAATGGAATACTAAACGGTATAGTCTTTGTAAAATATGCAGGGATTTATTATATGCAAAATGAGCCATGGAAAGAGAAGAAGGGAAGTCACTGAAATCTTAAGGATGTAAAAGTGAGTACTTTAAATTGTAAAACAGAAAATTTAATAAAAATTATATACAAAAAAAAAGGATTGCCCCTTTGAAATAAACAAAATGGCTTGAGTCATTCTTTCTCTGGAACAATGGGGTTGTTTCTCTCTTCCTACAAATCTAAAACATAACTAAGATGCTGTTATCAGTCACTCATTCTGCTTATTCATTGTTTGATCGCACTCTAACCAAGGTATCAGCGCACAATAGTTATTAATGGGCTGGTGGGTCCTATATAGCTCATGTTACATATCCATGGCATATATCCAGTTATCTCATTCTTGTGAAATATAAAGAGCATGTGTCAAGTTCTTCAAACTGGATTAAAAGCAAACCAAGCTTCCCTCATTTGCCCTTAATGCTTGGTGTAATAGTTTGATAACTATTACTTTGCCCTTGTTAATGCTCTAGAAGGCATCTAAGAAGAGGGAGATAATGTCAAATAGAATACATTTAAGACTACTGAGATTAACAAGGGAAGAATGCATTCACCATCAATATACCCGTTCTATAAAAGTATAAAAATGGCAGAATTATTAACATATTTGAAGAGTTAGGTAAAGGTAAAGGTACCCCTGCCCATACGGGCCAGTCGTGTCCGACTCTAGGGTTGTGCGCCCATCTCACTTAAGAGGCTGGGGGCCAGCGCTGTCCGGAGACACTTTCGGGTTACGTGGCCAGCGTGACAAAGCTGCTCTGGTGAGCCAGCACCAGCGCAGCACACGGAAACGCCGTTTACCTTCCCGCTATAAAGCGGTACCTATTTATCTACTTGCACTTAGGGGTGCTTTCGAACTGCTAGGTGGGCAGGAGCTGGGACCGAAAGACGGGAGCTCACCCCGCCGCGGGGATTCGAACCGCCGACCATGCGATTGGCAAGCCCTAGGCACTGAGGTTTTACCCACAGCGCCACCCGCGTCCCTCTTCCTATTTTGGTGGAAGATCACATTTGATTGGAAGAGAGTCAAATTTTTCATGCCATTTTTACCGAGCTTTGCAGCAATGTAAGTTGTTAAAAGTGGCACGGAATATTTGACTCTGTAAAGTCAAACCACTGGAGAGTTACAGTGCCTGCTGTGGCTGTAGAAACCAATATGGGAGAGACATGTTTTATTGCAGCTGGGGCAGATGAAGGCGTCTGGTTTCGCTGTTACAGGTGCACCATGACTTTCTCACCTCTCATGTCCAATGTCCATGGACTACAAACAAACAGAAATGTAGTTAAACTAAACGCCTCACTTTGTGCAGCCAACATGCATGGCTGGGAAGCAGTTTAAAATCATCATCATATTTGAAGGAGGCCGGCTTCAAAGCAACTGAGACTAACTACCCCCTCATGCTACTAAACAGATGGGATTTTTTAAAATTAAAGCTTTGTTAATGCAGCTCTGAGGCTCAGTCTTGTGTGGTGCTGAGAGATAAACGTGGCGCAGAATTGCTGTTGACATCTCTGCCAACGGAGATATTTTTGTGGTGCCTTTTCAGGCAGCATCCTTGAGCCATGTGGGCTGTGGGTAGCTATTTGACCTTCATTGCACTGACTGAATGGTTAGGATCTTTGCTGTGTAAATAGAAAACGTTGAAAACAGGGGGTTGAGGTCTGTGGAAATGCAGGGGAAAGAATGTGTGAGCCTGTAATTAAAATGAAGCAACCTCTCTGGAAACCCTTTGACTCCAACTGCCAGCAGTTTAATTCTTCTGTCCTGATAAGCGTCTTCAAGAACACGCATTTAGTAGATTAGTCCCAGTTGTACATTTAATCCCAAGTACAAAACATATGAACGGTGAAGCTGTTCAGCACCAAGCTAGACATGGCAGGAGCAACCACAGCTGTTGTAAAGTAAAGGTAAAGGGACCCCTGACTGTTAGGTCTAGTCGCGGACGACTCTGGGGTTGCGGCGCTCATCTCGCTTTATTGGCAGAGGGAGCCGGCGTACAGCTTCCGGGTCATGTGGCCAGCATGACTAAGCCGCTTCTGGCAAACCAGAGCAGCACAGCGGTCCCATAGTTGTTGTACATGGTGCATAAAAGGACACAGGTGGCGCTGTGGTCTAAACCACAGAACCTTGGGCTTGCCGATCAGAAGGTCAGCGGTTCGAATCCTCACGACGGAGTGAACTCCCGTTGCTCGGTCCCTGCTCCTGCCAACCTAGCAGTTTGAAAGCACGTCAAAGTGTAAGTAGATAAATAGGTACCGCTCTGGCGGGAAGGTAAATGGCATTTACGTGTGCTGCTCTGGTTCGCCAGAAGCGGCTTAGTCAGAAGTGTTGCTCTGTCCCAGCTCCTGCCAACCTAGCAATTTGAAAGCACGCCAGTGCAAGTAGATCAATAGGTACTGCTGCAGCGGGAAGTTAAATAGTGTTTCTGTACGCTCTGGTTTCCGTCGTGGTGTTTCCGTTGCGACAGAAGTGGTTTAGTCCTGCTGGCCACATGACCCGGAAAGCTGTCTGTGGACAAACGCCGGCTCCCTCCCTGTGTGTTTTTATGAAAACTTCCCCTCATATGCATTTTCATGTGCTTTGTTTGGAGAATAGTACTTTTCTTAATTTTGAAGCATAGCTGTGCTTTGGATAATGCATTCCGCCGCCGCCCCCAGGAAATGAGGTTCACTTGCCGACAGAACCAAATTTATTCCCCATCCCTAATGCCACCTCCACTACGACAAGCAGATCCGACTCCTTTCATGTGAGGAAAAGTTCAAGTTAGATTCTTCCAAAACACTGCAAAAACATGTCATTCAAAATCCCACCGGCGCCTTGAGCCTTGCTTTATTCTAGAAAGAATGCCGCAGCAAAGTATGTTTTTTTTTGCTTCTGACAAACATCCGCATTAGCATAACAAAGGAAATGTTTGCTTTTATGAAAGCTTTTACTGCTGTTGATATAGGTAGCTTTGGAATGTGTATGCATGGGCTATTCCCTCCCCCACCTTCTTAAAGTTACAAACATCTTATTTAGCTTCCGTGTGAACTAGAACTATTTGTTCCTTCCTCAAGGACATCACAAGAGGCAAAACAAAAAGAAACACAACAACAAGAACTTCCTACACAGAGGCCATTATTTGTAGTATTTTTACTGCAGAGAGGAATGAAACCAACCTGTTCCATATCTGGCCTGCTATCTTTCAAATTTGCAGCGTGCTTCATTTAAAAAGTACCCTAAGTCTGGGAGGCAGTCTCAAATTACCACAAAAAAATAATAATAATATGAATACTTGAGGTGACGGGGGATGAAATTATATTTTTTAAAAAATCTTAATCAGTTTTAACGCAATTACATTCATTCACTTTCACATACTTCTAGCCTGGACCTGTAATTCCCATGCTGTATAAATTCCAACGCACAACACTGTGCTTTGAGAAAAACGTTAGCATGCCGTGAGACTTATTTAATTACTTTGCAGAAAAGTAGACACCCACAGGACGCGTCTGCCTGCTGCATCTCATCATGGTTTTCAGTGCTAGCCACAATTCCCCTTAGTCATTTTCCACCAGAAATGGGTTATTCACACAAAGCGGGTTCTCCTTCATGGAGAGCACGTGTTGCAGTGGGGGAAACCAAGGCATCCCCTGTTGCTGGCGGGTTAGTATGGATGGCCACAAATTTGAAAGGGCACCTCCAATTGTTGCTGGGGAGAATTTAATGTTGCAAAATGGTTTGATTGATGGGGGTGCTATTTATTCCCTGTGCGCAGCGTTGAGCACGCATCGGATTACCTGCCCACCCTCCTTTTATTTAGGTTTGGCTCGCCCTGACCTTGCTATGCCTGTCATGGGGTCATCTGCTTTGGAGCAGGGACCTGCTAGGAATTTTACCATTTGGCTGATTGGCAGGTGCCATTTGGTTTTTTGCCTACTGCATAGCAAAATCGTCACAACTTATAAGGTTGCTGTCAGTTGCTGGTGGTGGTTGGTTGTGAGTAACCAGGGAGGACTCCAACCTGTCTTTTACAGGTTTTATTGGTGCAAACTATTTAAAGGGACATGGGTGGCGCTGTGGGTTAAACCACAGAGCCTAGGACTTGCCGATCAGAAGGTCAGCGGTTCGAATCCCCATGACGGGGTGAGCGCCCGTTGCTCAGTCCCTGCTCCTGCCAACCTAGCAGTTCAAAAGCACATCAAAGTGCAAGTAGATAAATAGGTACCGCTCCGGCGGGAAGGTAAACAGCGTTTCCGTGCGCTGCTCTGGTTTCACCAGAAGAGGCTTAGTCATGCTGGCCACATGACCCGGAAGCTGTACGCCAGCTCCCTCAGCCAATAAAGCGAGATGAGCGCCGCAACCCCAGAGTCGGTCACGACCGGACCTAATGGTCAGGGGTCCCTTTACCTTTACCTATTTACAGTGCAGAACCACAAAGTTCATGTCCATCTTAGTCACTTGCAGATTCCAGGAGTGGCCCCTTCCGGTTTCTCCCCCAACATAAGAACTTAGACACCCCAAATCTCCACCTCCCCTCCTTATGTTTCACCCCTCTGCGCAAGCTGGGCGGCGGAAACGGCGTGTCTGTTTCCTGGCCAGCCGGGCTAGGTGAGGCGCTTGGGCTCTCAGTAGCATCTTTGAGCCCTCCCCTCACTTGGCTGCCCCCTTCCCCCTCTGCTCCACTGGAGGTGTGGCTTTCCCCACTGCTGGAAGAGGAGCTGCTCCTCAGAAGTGTTGGAGGCTCTCTGTCTCCCCCTGCCTCCCTCCCCTGTTCCGATGGCAGTCCCCTGACAGTTGCGGTTAAAGGTAAAGGTAAAGGGACCCCTGACCATTAGGTCCAGTCGTGGCTGACTCTGGGGTTGCGGCGCTCATCTTGCTTTATTGGCTGAGGGAGCCAGCGTACAGCTTCCGGGTCATGCGGCCAGCATGACCAAGCCACTTCTGGCGAACCAGAGCAGAGCAGTTTACCTTCCCGCTGGAATGGTACCTATTTATCTACTTGCACTTTGACATGCTTTCGAACTGCTAGGTTGGCAGGAGCAGGGACCAAGCAACAGGAGGTCACCCCGTCGCGGGGATTCGAACCGCCGACCTTCTGATCGGCAAGTCCTAGGCTCTGTGGTTTAACCCACAGAGCCACCGACAGTTGCAGTTAGGCATTGGTTAATTTTGGTTGGTGGAGGGGATGTGGTTGGCTGTGCCTGCCCCTCCAATGCTGCTGCTGCAAGGGTTTTCCATTAAAGGAACCCAGAGGCTCACCACGCTTTTGTCCGAACCCCTGGCAAGGGGCTAGGGCCACGCAAGAGCCCCTGGGAGCATTTGCGGAGAGGTGAGGGCCTGGCACCCAGCTCTATTCTCTCCCCAAAAATGTTTACCCTTACTGACTCCCGCAGGGGTGCGGTTGTCAGTTCTGTTCCTACCTCTCCATGGGAACAGATAGTCGTGAACCGATGCCTAAGCAACCACTCACATGCTGTCATTCAATAAAGTTGTGGCCAAAATTATGCCAAAAACCAAAACAAAAATGTTGTGTGAACTGTGTCTTTATTTGGGGGTGTCCTGGGAGCCTCGACACGCAAGAGATACAGAGGTGGGCCAATTACTTTCTGTTTCAGCTGTCTGGGATATGTAAGGTAAAGGTTAAAGGGACCCCTGACCATTAGGTCCAGTCTTGGACGACTCTGGGGTTGTGGCACTCATCTCGCTTTACTGGCCGAGGGAGCCAGAGTACAGCTTCCGGGTCATGTGGCCAGCATGACTAAGCCACTTCTGGCGAACCAGAGCAGCGCACGGAAACGCCGTTTACCTTCCCGCTGGAACGGTACCTATTTATCTACTTGCACTTTGACGTGCTTTCAAACTGATAGGTTGGCAGGAGCAGGAGCTGATCAACGGGAGCTCACCCCGTTGCAGGGATTCAAACCGCCAACCTTCTGATTTCTAGGCTCTGAGGTTTAACCCACAGCGCCACCCGCGTTTCCACCAAATCTTATTTATATTCCTTGCTCTCCAGTTCAATTTAGTCTCCCTTATGGTCTCCCTAAGCACAAGAGGCTCCAATAAGGTTTCCAAGCCTGCCTTGTACAATTAGTTTCAGTGTCTTATCTAGCCCAAGACATGTGACCTATATAACATACTGGGCAGCATGACAAAAGCACATTATCGACTGCTTTATTGCTGACTTCCTCTGGCATGTTTGAAGTCCGGTCACAGCTCAGTTTATTTATTAATAGGCTCCGTTCAGCATGAGAACAGAAATATACTGTTTAACCTTTGTCAATGTGAATTCCAACACTGCTGCCAACAACTGATTCAGAATTAAATCACATTAAGCAAGAAAGCCAAAGCTTTTCAAACGGAAAACAATGCAGAAGACTGACTACTGAATATGCTAAATGACTTTCAAGTCTATTTATCTACCCAGCTTCTCACTGTTCAAGTCCTTTAGGTCCAGGAGGCAACGGCCAACAACAAACATATTACTCATGCCATAGGGAGGTTGCAAAAAATGGCGTCCCCTGCTTGGGTTCACCTTGTCGTTGGCATTCATCTGTCTCGAGAGGTGAAGTCAAACTGCTGCATTGCACTGAAGTTACCTCCCTGGGATGTAATCTGGTGAACCGGGTTCGCGTCTCCGCTCCTCCACATGCAGCTGCTGGGTGACCTTGGGCCAGCCACACTTCTCTGAAGTCTCTCAGCCCCACTCGCCTCACAGAGTGTTTGTTGTGGGGGAGGAAGGGAAAGGAGAATGTTAGCTGCTTTGAGACTCCTGAAGGGGAGTGATAAAGCGGGATATCAAGTCCAAACTCTTCTTCTTCTTCTTCTTAGGGTTTACTCCTTAGCCTTCTCTTCTCCCAAAGATATCCTGCAAGGCCACAGAGATTTAGGATCAGAGTTTTCCTTCTCCTAGAGGGGCTAACTTCCCAGGTCAACGTGCCCCATCTGCCCCTCGCTTTCCTCTACAGCACGTGCAGAAACCTCCTTCTTGACCATTGGAGTTGGACCCAGTGGTACCTCGGGTTAAGAACTTAATTCGTTCCGGAGGTCCGTTCTTAACCTGAAACTGTTCTTAACCTGAGGTAGCATTTTAGCTAATGGGGCCTCCTGCTTGCCGCTGCGCTGCTGCTGCGCGATTTCTGTTCTCATCCTGAAGCAAAGTTCTTAACCCGAGGTACTACTTCCAGGTTAGCGGAGTCTGTAACCTGAAGCGTATGTAACCTGAAGCATCTGTAACCCGAGGTACCACTGTATTGGTTTCGTCTGCTCAATCTGCCAGAACCTGTCTTCGCATGCAGGGGGAAGTCCCTAATTCAACGAGGCGCTGAGTCCCATCAGCTACCCTCACTTAGTTTAGCCAGCCAGTCAAAGCCATTCCTGGGGTATGTCACTATTGCATGCTAATACTAATACTAATACTAATACTAATACTAATTTATTATTTATACCCCACCCATCTGGCTGGGTTTCCCCAGCCATTCTGGGTGGCTTCCAACAAAAGATTAAAAAGACATTTAAACATCAATCATTAACTACTTCTCTAAACAGGGCTGCCTTCAGATGTCTTCTAAACATCCGATAGTTGTTTATTTCTTTGACATCTGATGGGAGTGCGTGCCACAGGGCGGGCACCACTACCGAGAAGGCCCTCTGCCTGCTTCCTCGTAACTTCGCTTCTCGCAGTGAGAGAACTGCCAGAAGGCGCTCGGAGCTGGACCTCAGTGTCCGGGTTGAATGATGGGGGTGGAGACGCTCCTTCAGGTATACAGGTATACTGTAGCTTCTAAGAGCCACAGGTGAGAGCTGACTGCAAGGTGGGGATCAAAGATGGACAAGGTACCCCAGAAGGAGCACCCCCACCAGAGGTTCTATCCCTTCCCTAACACCCCATACACCCCACTGCCACACCATAAAAATTACAAGCCATCACTTAGGAAATATCCGCTGTTCCATGTTACTGGGAGCAGTTGATAGCCCCCCTCTGATAGCCTCGCTGTCACGTCCTCCTGGGTAGCCTACTGCCTGGGATGTCAAAGACTGCGTTTCTCAGCTTCCTGCTGTAATACATGAACGAAGCAAATTCATTCAGAGTTGTTCTATCAACAACTCTTAGGCATGGAAGCTAAATGGGACCTTCCCCATACAAACTAGAAAAGGAAGGCTCTCGTCTTCATTCTCTAGCTTCTGAAGGCATCTGGCTGACTGCTGTTGAAAAGAAAACGTTGGCCAATCTGATCCATCAAGCCAGTTCTTATAGTCTCTGTCCCCCAGCCCTGCCATAGTTGGAGAGACAGCTGTCTCCCACAGGTCCATAAGCTTCAGGTCCTCTCCAGAGTCTTTGGCTTCTCTGTTCCACAGAGCAAGGGAGCATGCAAAGACAGCTACCGTATTTTTTGCTCTATAAGACGCACTTTTCCCCCTTCAAAAATTAAGGGGAAATGTGTGTGCGTCTTATGCAGCGAATGCAGGCTCCTTGGCTTCAGCGATATCAATGCGAAGCCTCCAAAGTGCAGAGGGATAGCTCCCCCTGCGCTCCGGAGGCTTCGTGTTGCTTTCGCTGAAGCCGCCTGAAGCCCCCGGAGCGCAGCGGGAACTCCCGCTGCGCTCCGGGGGCTTCAGGCAGCTATCCGCAAGCCTTCGGAGCACAGCAGGAGTTCCCGCTGCGCTCCAAAGGCTTGCGGATAGCCGCCTGAAGCCTGGAGAGCGAGAGGGGTCAGTGCACACCGATCCCTCTTGCTCTCCAGGCTTCGCTTCGCTGGAGAGGCGCTGCACAGTTTTCCCTCTCTGCTCAGCGCCCCTTCAGCGAAGCGGCAGGAGAAACGGAGCCCCTTCCATTTCTCCTCCCGCTTCGCTGAAGGGGCGCTGAGCAGAGAGGGGGAGAAATTTTTTTTCCTGTTCTCCCCCTCTAAAACAAGGTGCGTCCTATGGTCCGTTGTGTCCTATAGAGCGAAAAATACGGTACTTCTCCAGTACCTCCTGCCTCCCACTTTATATCTACCTCCTTGCTCTCTCCGTGCTGACAAAAAGCTCATCTGTGTTTTCTGATCATCTCTTTTCTGGGTCACAAGACACTCCTCCTCCAAGCTGCCTCCTGCCACCTGCTCAATGCAGTCTTTCCCTTCTGCCACTTATAAACCAGTCGCTTCCTCCTGAATTATGGCCGAATTATGACTTTTTTAAAAAAAAAATTCCAAATCCTTTATTCTTTTATTCACATAATATACATTCTTTACCACAAACAACTCCAAAATAAACAGACAACTCCAAAATAAAATCATATGTAACCAAACCATATGTCTCATGTTTTGATTTACACTGATCTCCTCTCCGATACCTTTACTTGATATTTCTTGCTGCTTTCTGCTTTCCTTATAGAATCTTTATGAAAATTTAAATCTCTTAAATCCTATACCAATCTTTAACAATTTCAATGAATCCCTTCACCTCCCTCCCCCACAGCCCAGTACTTCCCTCCACCCATGCGTTATTCACTTTATTTGTTATTCCATCCTTAATATTTTATTATCCTATCTCCTTGCACCTTTTAAACTTTTGCATATTAATTTTTAATCTCCAGCATGGACTTTTTTCATGTATTCCTTAACACGTTCCCACTCTTTATTAATTTTTTGATTAGAGTAACCTCTAATTGATGCTGTTAATTTTGCCATCTCCGCGAATTCCAAGAAATTTGGTTCTCCATTCGAATAATTCTGGTATTTTATCAGTTTTCCAATTTTTTGCCACTACGATTCTGGCTGCCGCGGTTGCGTAAAGGAAATCATTCCTTTTATCTTTAGGGATGTCACTCGATACTAAACCCAGCAAAAATGCCACTGGTTTTTTAAAGACTGAACTCCTAAATATCTTTTTAAGCTCTTCATGTATCATAATCCAGACCTGTTTCACCACTTTGCACCCCCACCACATATTATGACTTTAATGAAAGTGTCTGCATGGTCTCAAATAGGGTGGGACCAGTGTGGTGCTGCTTGGCAGAGAGCAGTCCTCAGTCTGAAAGGCTGCCTAGTTCAAGTCTAGCTTAAAGATTTAAGGACCATATCATGCGCAAGGAGATCAGGGGGGAGCTTGGAAGCTGCCCATCCACAGTTCGCACCTGGGCAACAGACTAAGCAGTCTCACTGTTCCCACACTGTGGAGAAATGAACTGTATTCCAATTTCTCCCATAGCAATTATTTCTAAATTTGCATGTACAGTGGTACCTCGGGTTACATACACTTCAGGTTACAGACTCCGCTAACCCAGAAATAATACCTCGGGTTAAGAACTCTGCTTCAGGATGAGAACAGAAATCGTGTTCCGGCGGCGCGGCAGCAGCGGGAGGCCCCATTAGCTAAAGTGGTGCTTCAGGTTAAGAACAGTTTCAGGTTAAGTACAGACCTCCAGAACGAATTAAGTCTTTAACCTGAGGTACCACTGTATTCCAATTTCTCCCACAGTAATTATTTCTAAATTTGCACGTATACATATGCACATTTTTATGCCAATTTCTATCTCTCTCGCTTTTGGTGACACATTTCCCCACAAAAGACCCTAACTTTATCTGCCTAACAAGCAAAACAGATTCCAAACAGTGAGAGTGGCTTCCTAGACTGAGATACAGTGGTACCTCTAGTTGCGAACTTAATCCATTTTGGGGTGCCGTTCGAACCCCGAAATGTCTGCAACTAGAGCGCCTCTTCTGCTCATGTGTGCGGTGTGATCGAGCGCTTCTGCTCATGCGCAAAGCGTGCTGATTGCTTCTGCATATGTGCAGTGCGCAGATCGCTTCTGCGCATGCGCAAAGTACAGTAAACACTTCTGGGTTTGCCATGTTCATAAACTGAAAGTCCATAACAAGAGCAGAATGCAATACAAGGTACGACTGTAACAGAAAACAAGGTTGCTCCCTGCCAAAGAAAGACCATTGGAGGATACAGTGGTACCTCTAGATACAAACGGGATCTGTTCCGGAGCCCCATTCGCATCTAGACATAAACGTAACTAGCGACGGGGCGTCTGCGCACACACGCGTCACTTTTCGCCGCTTCTGCGCATGCGTGTGAAGTCATTTTGAGCGTCTGCACATGCGCAAGTGGTAAAACCCGGAAGTACCGCGCTCCGTTACTTCCGGGTTGCCGAGGAGTGCAACTCGAACGCGCTCAACTCGAAGCATATTTAACCCGAGGTATGACTGTATATTTTATTGCTGTTGGATACTTCTGTTGAGTATTTCCAGAAGAACAGGAGACTAGTCCTCGTGATCCTGTCAGTCAGCAAGGTGGGTTTTGCCAGGCGTGGGTGGTCACTGAGCAGCCACAAAAGGGGAAATTACTTTGCTCTCCTATGAATGAGCTTCTCAAACTGATCTATGAGGGAGTGCAATGTGTGCACTTGGGACGGGGGCTTTGCAAATTGTGAAGTCTGCCCCTTGCTTGACCCCAAAACCTACTGAGATTGAGGAACCAGAATAATTTGTGGCCTGTTTAAAATTATCTACTTTAGATCAGAATAATTCTCCAGGCTCCCGTGGTAAGAGGCATTTTACAAACATCAGTTAACATGGCCTGCTAAAGCAATTCTAAATACCTTTCCCCCTCTGCAAATGGAAAAACACAGAGAAACAATTTCCTTTGAGAAGGGGAGAGACAGAACGGCCTCACACTCACTGTGGCACTTAAAACACAACTGCGGCTGCTGCTCCCATAGCAACTCCTCCAGACTGTAATATTTCTCCCTTGGGTGCAAAACAAGCTTGTGGTAATTAGGCCTTTGTTCAGCTCGCTCTAAGGTCCAACTGAGCCCACCCGACTTAATTGCGGCTTTTTAAACATGCAAAGCATTCCCAGCTGCTCACAAATAAGGTGGGAACAATTCTTACAATGCTTCTATTCCTTTCTTTCCATTCCTTTCCCCTTCCTTACTGTCAGAGCACACTGCTTCAGATGTTGGCTGGAAATCTGCACTCTGGATATCCTCTTCAAAGCGAGCTGAAGTATACAAGCATCCGCTCCTCGTTTGTTTTGTATCTAGTGCAAGACGAAATTAATCCGTTCCGCGAGTGTCTTCGTCTAGCGGTTTTTTCGTCTTGCGAAGCAACCCTATTAGCGGCTTAACGGATTAGCGCTATTAGCGGATTAGCGGCTATTAAAGGCTTATCGGCTTAGCGGATTAGCTGCTAAAAGGCTATTAAAGGCTTAACGGCTTAGAAAAAGGGGGGGGGGAGCGGAAAAAAAATCTCAAGACTCGCAAGACATTTTCGTCTTGCGAAGCAAGCCCATAGGGAAATTCGTCCTGCGAAGCAACTCGAAAACGGAAAACCCTTTCGTCTAGCGGGTTTTCCGTCTTGCGAGGCATTCGTCTTGCGGGGCACCACTGTACTAATGAGGTGTCCCAGTCCTTGTTTTGGGTTTTGTGAGTGAGTGAGTGAGTGAGTGAAAGTGAGAGAGAAAGAAAGAAAGAAAGAGAGAGAGAGAGAGAGAGAGAGAGAGAGAGAGGTCTATAGCTATCATTGGGTGCTGTGGTTTGTGGGTGCAAGTCACCCACAATTCTTAGAATTCTTAGAATTTAATCAAGGTTTGATTAAGTTGTGCCAAACAAGGAAAGTCAAGCTTATGTTAACAACCCAGGCTAGCCTAGCAGAGCTAGCTGGGTGTAAGCCATCATGAAAGGAACATAGATTGCTTGATTGCCCATCAAAGAAACCATAAAGACACAGCAAACACAGCAAAAAGACACAGCAAAAACCAGATGACGAGGGGAGTGGGCCCTTCTCCAGCTGTGCATTCGTGGACAGAGACCAAAGGGGTGTAGGATTTCAGGGTGTGTGTATGACATAAGCAAACAGGAAAAAGGTGTCAGACTGGCAAGCAGATAATAGGGGGGCAGGCCACGATGTGGGCTGGCTGCGAACAGCCAGTGGCATAGCGCAGGTTGCCAGTGCCAGGGGCTGCACAGATGGCTGGAGTGGGAGGGAGGGAAACGAACAGAGTACACATGCACATTCAACTGTCTAATGGCATCTGTGTCACCCAGGAGATGACAGCTGCAGTGATAAGAAGATCCATTGCGTTTTTTGAAGAGGTCACTTCCTGGCTCGCATAGAGAAGGTGTTTTCAACGGAGCCCAGCGACAGAAGCACATAGCTGTATTGAGGCAGTACTGGATGTTGAAATTTTGCGCCCCTAATAATTTTGCACTTTGGGCGACTACCCCCTGTCTCCCGTCCCTCCCATGCTACGTCACTGGGAACAGATGTATCAAAGAGAGACATAGAACATGGCTTTTTGCTGTCCTTTGAATCCAATGCTGTGTTTATGGAGGAAGCCGGGCCTGCTTGGAGTGTGAATGCTCTACAATTCCTTCATCTAGGTTCAGGATATATATGTGCGTAAATAAACCATATATCATAAAGACACCACAGTCTCCACTATGCCTCATTGTCCCCCAAAGGAACAAAGACCCTGGTAAGTTTACCTGCAACCCCTGGAATCTTGCATCAGTCGTGGAGCTAGGGGTGGCATGGAGCAATGACCATTTTGAGTGTGGGTTGTGTTTCTGGCCCATGCACTGTCCCTGCCCTTGTTCCACCCTGTTCCACTCCCTTTTCCGGCCACTGCCAGGGTCGTTGCCTGTGTGTTAATGGTGCCCCAACAGCTTTGCGTAGCTCAGAACTAGAGTTAACTGCAGAATTTTTTTACAAAACATGCAAGTTTGTATAATTTATAGAGATCATAGAATTTCAGTTACCGTATTTTTTGCTCCATAAGACGCACTTTTTTCTTCCTAAAAAGTAAGGGGAAATGTTTGTGCGTCTTATGGAGTGAATGCGTGGTCCCTGGAGCCAAATTGCCCAGGGGCAAAAAGAAGATCATGCTTTTTTTTTTTTTTTGGAAAGAGGGAAGTGGGTGTTGAAAGATAGCCGCTGATCGTTTGCGATCGGGGAGTGAGATAAGGGACACTAGAGATAAAGGAGGCTGCCTGGGAGGGGGGAGGTAAAGGCAGCAAACTTGCAAAGGGGGGGGGGGACAGGAAGACTAAAGCAATAAGGAGAGAAATTAGAAGAAAATGAGGAGCAAAAAACTGTTCCAGCTAAGGCAAAGATACTACACTAAGGCAAACAAAAGGGAAGGGTGTGTTGAAAGGAAACAGCTGATCAGTGGGATCAGAAGAGAGATAAGGGGTGCTAGTGGAGGCTGCCTGGGAATGGGGAGATAAAAACCCATGGATCCTCAGGATTTTTACACTGGGTCACCCCAAATGCACCATCAGATCACATGTCTGTGGTCACAGTATGAACCACAAAAATCATACATCCACTGTTTCATTCAGAATATTTTTTTTCTTGTTTTCCTCCTCTAAAAACTAGGTGCGTCTTATGGTCAGGTGTGTCTTATGGAGCAAAAAATACGGTAGTTTTTGCAAGAATGCTGGTTTGCTCTTTTTTTAAAAAAAGAACACTCTGGCTTTAATTCATACCAAAGCTAGCCATCAGGTAGCCCACATGTGAAAACAAGTCAGCCCTTTCTTGTGGAAATGAATGTTTCTACAACCCGAAGTGAACAGTGGCTTTGGCTGAGGTCTTCCACCCTCCTGCTGTTGGCAGAGATCACTTTCACTCAATGCCAACTTGGGCAGCCCTACAAAAGAACGGATATTAATAATCCCTATCCGTTCCTTCCCACGTGGCACCTTTGAAACTACTCCATTTGCTACGTTGCTAGAATCAAGTGGCACAGATGAGGCTGGCTATATATAGGCAATGGGAGTTTTATGCATTTTCAAAGAAACTGGCATTCTATTTATCCATGGACAGAAAAGCTTTCTTCCTGTTCTGCTGGAATTGTCTCTGATTTTTGTCCCGTGGACTGCAAGCATCTGACATCACATCCCGGATGTGGGGCCAGTCACCTAATCTCAGCCCTCCAGCACAACAAGTTAAGCTGCATCCGATAAATTAGACTGTAGTCCGTGAAACTTTATGCCAGGGGTAAGTAACCTTTTTCAGCCGTGGGCCAGTCCACCCTCCCTCAGACCATGTGGTGGGCCGGACTATTTTTTTGGGGGGGGGAGTGAATGAATTCCTATGCCCCACAAATAACCCAGACATGCATTTAAATAAAAGCACACATTCTTGTTGTTGTTGTTTAGTCGTTTAGTCGTGTCCGACTCTTTGTGACCCCATGGACCAGAGCACGCCAGGCACTCCTGTCTTCCACTGCCTCCCGCAGCCTGGTCAAACTCATGCTGGTAGCTTTGAGAACACTGTCCAACCATCTCGTCCTCTGTCGTCTCCTTCTCCTTGTGCCCTCCATCTTTCCCAACATCAGGGTCTTTTCCAGGGAGTCTTCTCTTCTCATGAGGTGGCCAAAGTATTGGAGCCTCAGCTTCAGAATCTGTCCTTCCAGTGAGCACTCAGGGCTGATTTCCTTTGATCTTGCAGTCCATGGGACTCTCAAGAGTCTCCTCCAGCACCATAATTCAAATGCATCAATTCTTTGGTGATCAGCCTTCTTGATGGTCCAGCTCTCACTTCCATACATCACTACTGGGAAAACCATAGCTTTAACTATACGGGCCTTTGTTGGCAAGGTGATGTCTCTGCTTTTTAAGATGCTAGGAGGTGCTACAGTGGTACCTCGGGTTAAGTACTTAATTTGTTCCGGAGGTCCGAACTTAACCTGAAACTGTTCTTAACCTGAAGCACCACTTTAGCTAATGGGGCCTCCTGCTGCTGCCGCGCCGCCGGAGCACGATTTCTGTTCTCATCCTGAAGCAAAGTTCTTAACCTGAAGCACTATTTCTGGGTTAGCGGAGTCTGTAACCTGAAGTGTATGTAACCTGAAGCATATGTAACCCGAGGTACCACTGTACTCATGTAAAAACATGCTGATTCCCGGACCATCCACAGGCCGGATTGAGAAGGTGATTGGGCCGCATCCGGCCCCCGGGCCTTAGGTTGCCTACCCCTGCTTTATGCTGTAGCAAAACTGTTGAGGCAGCTGCTCTGACAACTGAGCCACAGATCAGGTTTAGTTCCCTTTAGATGAGAGAGCACTGGAGTTTAAGGGTGTTCTGTACCATGTTTGCTTTACAAATAGCACAAGGAGAAGCACACGTAAACAGGCCCTCCTCTCGCTGGCAGCAGATCCCGCGGCCTTTACAATGGATTCCCAAAGCAGCCTTACGCAGGTCTCCCAGTTCCATCTAACTCCAGCCAGAAACTCTCCACTCTCAACCTAACAAATAATTGCTCTTTTCCGCACCTCCTGCAGAGCAATAGTTACCAATACTTACCCCCAGCTGGTGGAATTACCCATGCGGGATACTTCCACAGCCATAAAAGGAACAGTACTTTTGCCAAGTTCATGGCTCCAATCCGCTCACTGTAATCAGAAAGCAAAACTCACATTATATGTCCAGAAAGAAGTCTATGTACTCCCACAGCAAAGGACCAGGGAGACAGGAACTCAGGGTGGGTGAATCTGTCCATTTTGGTTTTTCTCATTTTTCCAATCTGAAGCTCAGTTCTCCACATAAGTTTGTGATTCTACTTTTTCAAAAAGTCCTTGTGAATATCTGCATTTTAGTGCAATTTTCTCCTATGTGTGTAATGTTGCCTAATATGCACATTGCAAATAAATTTTCCCACATGCATTTTTTTCTATGCTATTTTCACTAATTTTCACTTTGCCCCAGTATGTGCCATTTTTTTTGGTGCACACTGCTATATTGCAAAACTCGGGACAAATTTGGAAGAATGGCAATGTTTCAGTTAGCATACAGTTTGGGAAAATGCAAACCAAATGGCCTTTAAATGTGAACTAAATAATTAAGACGATATAGTCTTTAATACAGAGTGGAAATCATATGTTGTATATTTTCAGAATTATTGTAAACAGATTTAATCATTAGCAGGACTGATGTAAAGACGTGCAGTAACATAATAAATATTGAATTAAAGGAGATAAATAATAATTAGGTTTGACTTGGAAAAGCAGTAAAAGTATTGTAAACATAAGCAACCGCGGAACGAGGGGGAAGGAGGTCAAAATAAGATATTGTGGAAAATGTTGTGTTTGTTTATTGTAAAATGAAAATTATAAATAAAACATTAAAAATAAAAGTGAACTAAATTGATGTTCTCCCCCTGGTGTGCAAAAGCAAAGCAAAAGCATCCTGTGCCCTTTTAAAATGTGGTTCTTTTTTTGGGGGGGTGTTGTTTGTATTTTGATTATATTGTGGTTTTATATTTTGATTAAATAAACTCACTGGAACTCAGTTCCAGCAACTCTCAGGTGGGCTCCACTGCCATTATTAGAAAACAAGACAGGCATTCATGATAAGTTCCGGCACCTCTTTTTTCTAGAAAAATAGCACTGGTTCTCCCCGATCCACCATCATTGAGAGGTTTCTCACAGGGCACACTGGTGTGGTGTTGTGACTGAGAGCAGGAGCTATCCCTGCAGTTCAGATGTCACCTATCCCAATAACTCACCACATGGACTTAGGCAAGAGCCACATGCCAGCAACAACAAGAAACAAGCAGATTAGGAATCAGGAATAAAACTACTTGCTTCGCTTTAGGAAAAGGAGCAGTCAGAGAAAATGGAAAGTGTGCCATTGCTCTTAACACTTATCTATCTCACTCAGGAAGTATAAAGCAAATCTCAGAGAGCAAATCTCACCTACTTACATTTGTTTCTCCGTGCTTTTCGATACAGTGGTACCTCGGGTTAAGAACTTAATTCGTTCCGGAGGTCCATACTTAACCTGAAACTGTTCTTAACCTGAAGCACCACTTTAGCTAATGGGGTCTCCCACTGCCGCAACGCTGACGCTGCGCGATTTCTGTTCTCATCCTGAAGCAAAGTTCTTAACCCGAGGTACTATTTCTGGGTTAGCAGAGTCTGTAACCTGAAGCGTATGTAACCCGAGGTGCCACTGTACTCTTAAGCAGGGGTCGGCAAACTAAGGGTCGCAGGCCGGATCAGGCCCAATTGCCTTCAGGATCCGGCCCGCGGACTGTCCGTAGATCGGTGTGGGGATTTTGTTCGTTTGGGCTGCGCCATTCCCCCCCTGCGCCATTCCATTCAACCCCTCCCTCTCACACACCGCGACGCCGACACCTCTCCCTCCCTCCTCCCAGCTTCTCCCCGCCCTGCCTAGAGGAGGAAGGGGGCTGGGTTGTGCTGGCTGAGCGCCATTTTAAGCAGCCCTTCTCCGGCCCGCCACAAGGTCTGAGGGACAGTGGACCGGCCCGCTGCTAAAAAAAATTGCCAACTCCTGCTCTTAACAAATAGCGTGAACCAAGGCCAGTCTGTTTATTTTTTGCTTTGCTTTCCTCTACAAAGTCACAAAATTCAACCACTGAAAGAAGAAGAAACATTCCGGAGGTGGAACATTTTATGAATACATTCTTGACTCAGAGAGGAAGTTTTAAGTCATCCTTGCTGCTAAGTCCCTTTGGTACACAAGTTTCTTCCACGGAAAATAACCAGAAGTGACCAGGGGGCGGTAGTGGGGGTGGCGGAAAATGTGCTAGAATTCTTCTTGCTCTAGAGGCATACAAAATATTTCAACAGGGGAAGAGCACGAGCACAGATTAACCACAGCAGTTATCTGAATGCAGAATGACTTTCAGGAAGTCGCACAAGAATTGCTGCAATGTGTCTTTTGAAAACACTCCATAAGCATGGCTTCTAATAAAACTAGCAGCAACCTATGCCTGGGTAGTCCTTCCTGTGTGGCTTTCCCCTCCCACCCTGTGCCACAACACTGAGCCCAGCTGATAAAAGTAAAAAAAAACCTAGTCCTTTCCCCTTATGCATAGCTGTCAACCGTCTCTTATTTGGTGGGAAAGTCCCTTATCCCAGCGCTGTGTCCCGCTGCTGTCCCTTATTGATGATGTCCCTTAAATTTCCTGGGTTTCAAAGGAAGCAGTTCCTCTCCCTCCTTCCCTGCCGGCCAGGGAGGAGGAAGGCTCCAACTGTGTTGCTTGGCTGCGTTGCTCACCCAATAAGGAGTCTAAGAACGACTGGGGGGTGGAGCTTGCATGCCTTGTGCCAGTCAAATCGGCCGCGTTGCCTGGGGACTCGCCTTTGCTCAGCGCTTCCCAGCGGAGAGGTAACGGTGGTTTTCCTTGCTGCACCCCCTTTGCCGGGTTGCTGTGCTGTGGGAATCACCGCTTGAGGCTTCGTTTGGCTGCTGGATGGGCTTTCTGCCTTTGGCTCGGAGGGGCTCAGAAGCTGAGCATACCTGTGCTTGGAAAATCCCTTATTCTGGCTGCTGATCCCTTATTTTCGAGGCTGCTGATCCCTTATTTTCAAATCTGTAAGTTGACAGCTATGCCCTTATGGGGTACCCAAGAGCCCATACAGAGTCCTTTTGTAGGTTCTCTATCGGTAGGAGAAAATAACAGAGGCCAACCAGAGAATATTGAGAAGCAAAGCAGCTAGTAAGCCTGATCTTTATTGAACTGTTGCAACAGGGTGCTCCCCTCACCCGCAGGAGAGGAGGAGGACCCCGAACAAAGGCATGCCCGCCCTTATATAGATATTTTAAATTGCCTGCCCTGGAGTCCAAGACCACCCCCAGAAACATCATACCTACATCACAGAAAAGGCGGTCTACAACAGAAATCTGAGTGCATTGTTTATCTCCTATCTGGCAAGTTACCTGATTGCATTGGGTTTTGGCCACTCTTTTGTTATTATAACTACTTAATTCCTGAATCTAGGTCACAGGCTCACACCCTGTTCATATCTTGAATGTGCCCTTAAGACAGGATTTGTGAGGACAGGATTTGTGAGGAAAGAGACAATGGGGAGGTTTCCCACTTTGACCTTGCAGAGAAATATTTGAGGTCAGTTTGTTCAGGACGTAATCTGTGGGGTTTCAGAAATGTGGTTTATATATACAGTTATGAACATTTAATTTTTTTATATATGAAAAAATTATTATAACACCAGGCTACGTGAGCAAAGCAATGTGCCAGACACAAAGCAGCTATCCCACGACTAGGGGCATCGGTTGCTCAGCGGAGGAACAAGAATTACATAGGATAGGAATGAGAGTCTGGAAGCTAAACTGCATGCTAAGTTACGCTTTTTAGAAGCTGCTCTTCATACTGCCACTCTTATCAGGTGCAGAAAGCAGCTGATCAGCAGCTGCTGCTAGAGAGGAGAGGCGATTCAACAGCAAATAGCAGCTTCTCTTCCATTCCCCTTAACACAATGTACTTCACATAACATGCTCTGTTGACCCTGAGCCAGGGCACCTGACCTGCAGACCTGACTTCTGCAAAGTACAGGGAGTGTTGTTAGAGGATGGGACAGTGGGCCTGAGATCCAGGTCCTTGTCACCAGGCCTTCGTGCCAGATTCCAGTCTCCTTTCCCCTTTCCCTCCCCTTTCAAAAGGTGTTTTTGTTGTTACATTGCTTACACGAATGATAGGAAACCCAGTCTCTTTCATATGTGGTGGACTTGTAAAAGGGTAGAGACATCACCTTGCCAACAAACGTCTGTATAGTAAAAGCTATGGTTTTCCCAGTAGTGATGTATGGAAGTGAAAGCTGGACCATAAAGAAGGCTGATCACCGAATAATTGATGCTTTTGAATTATGATGCTGGAGGAGACTCTTGAGAGTCCCATGGACTGCAAGAAGATCAGACCTATCCATTCTTAAGAAAATCAGCCCTGAGTGCTCACTGGAAGGACAGATCCTGAAGCTGAGGCTCCAATACTTTGGCCACCTCATGAGAAGAGAAGACTCCCTGGAAAAGACCCTGATGTTGGGAAAGATGGAGGGCACAAGGAGAAGGGGACGACAGAGGACGAGATGGTTGGACAGTGTTCTCGAAGTTACCAGCATGAGTTTGACCAAACTGCGGGAGGCAGTGGAAGACAGAAGTGCCTGGTGTGCTCTGGTCCATGGGGTCACGACGAGTCAGACACGACTAAACCACTAAACAACAACAACAAAAGAGTATTGGGAAATTATCCTTAATGAATTGAAAAAAATGTTTAAAAGTACAGTGGGTGCTCGGGTTGCAAACGTGATCTGTGTAGGATGCACGTTTGCAAGCCGCAGCAGCACATCTGCGCAAGCGCAGGTTGCGATTTGGTGCTTCTGCGCATGCACAAAGCACAATTTAGCACTTTTGCGCATGCGCGACTGCCGAAACCCGGAAGTAACCCATTCCATTACTTTCGGGTTTCAGCGGTCCATAACCCAAAAAAAACGCAACCTCAAGCGTCTGTAACCTGAGGTATGACTGTACTTTCCCCCAAAACCAGAGTCCTTTCTGTAGGGGATAATTCAGACTGAAATTCCCAGGTGTCAAAAAAGGTTATTTATGTATGCCACTACTGCGGCCAGTGTTTTGTTAGCCCAAAAATGGAAAACGAGCGAGGTCCCAAACAAAGAAGAATGGCAACTTAAGCTGACAGAATATGCACAACTCACAGACTTAACACAGAGTAACAGAACAAGCATACGTTTAAAGAAGATTGGAAAACGTTTATTGAATATATGTGAAATAACTGTGTACAGCTAAAAATGCTGGCAGCATTAAGATAAATCTGACGGTGTAAATATGCACCTGTACTTTAAGATCCACAGATAGATGTGGCGGAGGGAGGAAACTTGGCCAAAAATCTGAAAACGCTGGCAGCATTAAGATAAATTCAGCAGTGTAAACAAGTTATGATAGATGCAATAATGGAATACTGAAGGGTATAGTTCTTGTAAAATATGCAGGAATTTATGTAAAATGAACCATGGAAAGAGAAGAAGGGAACTCATTGATATCTTATAGGTGTAAAATGAGTATTTTAAATGGTAAAACAGAAAATTTAACAAACATACACACATTTATATCCCGCCCATCTGGCTGGGTTTCCCCAGCCACTCTCTCTCTCTATATACCCAGTTTCTTGTGACACACCACTCAACTGCCCTGAATTAAACAGGATTGACAGCCCCAGTTTTTGTTTGATGTCCATGATGTTTTATGGTGTTTTTAAGTCGCATTTTAATCAATGTTTTGTATTTGCTGTTAGCCACCCTGAGCCCGGTTTTTAAACCGGGAAGGGCGGGGTAAAAATATATATTTTTTACTATTATTATTATTATGTCCTGCTTTTGCCTCTTTACCTCTTTCTCCTCCTCTAGGACAGCCTACCATAGGCTCCACCGCCATTGTGACCAACCTCTGCTGCTGCCGTATACCTGGGAGCAGGCACAGTGCATCAGGAAGCGCACTGCCGGACGAAGGAGCGCCACTTCCAGTAGCTCTAGCGAGGCCAAGAAGGCCAAACACATGTGCACCCACCCACACCCCTATGCCTGCCCCTCTGTCCTCTATCTGGGCAAGCAAAAGGCGTTATCAAGGACACATCCTAGCTAAACGAAAACACCAAAGGATAGTGCAATGCAGGGTCAGTGAAAGGCACTTCCTGGGGAAAAGGGATATACAGTGGTACCTCGGCTTACATACGCTTCAGGTTATATACGCTTCAGGTTACAGACTCCACTAACAGAAATAGTGCTTCAGGTTAAGAACTTTGCTTCAGGATGAGAACAGTAATTGTGCTCCGACGGCGCGGCAGCAGCAGGAGGCCCCATTAGCTAAAGTGGTGCTTCAGGTTAAGAACAGTTTCAGGTTAAGTACGGACCTCCAGAACGAATTAAGTACTTAACCCAAGGTACCACTGTAGTTGGGGAGAGGGTGCGCTGTGGGGAGGGTCCCAAGGGGTCTGGAGGGCCACTTTAGCCCCCTACTCTGAGCTTCCCCACCCTTGGCTTAGTGGGTAGCTGGGCACATTGAAAAGCACAGTACTGGTGAGGTGAAAGATCTTAATTAGGTAGGTAAAAAGGTAAAGGGACCCCTGACCATTAGGTCCAGTCGTGGCCGACTCTGGGGTTGCGGTGCTCATCTCGTTTTATTGGCCGAGGGAGCCAGCGTACAGCTACCGGGTCATGTGGCCAGCATGACTAAGCCGCTTCTGGCGAACCAGAGCAGAGCACGGGCATCGGGAGGGGGGGAGGGTTGGAGACTGACTTGGAAGAAGGGATCCGTCACCTGGGGGCAGTGGCGTTGCGTGGGGGGTGCAGGGGGGGCCGGCCGCACCGGGCGCAACATCTGGGGGGAGCCGCTCGCACTCGCAGCTCTCTGCCCCTACCTGGCTCACTCACTCTCTCTCACTGCAGTGCTGGCTGTGCGAATCCGATCCGAGCCGCTGGGTCGCCGCCCACTGTGGTGGGGGTGGGGGCCAGGCGTGCGGTGCGGAGAGAGAGCGAGGGACTATCTGGGGGAGGGACAGTGCAGCGGCCGCCCAGCGCAGCGCTGAGCGCGGGAGAGAACCACACCAGACCAGACCAGGCAGCAGCAAGAAGAAGCTGGCAGCGGCGGCAGGTTAGAGGTTAGGGGGCGCAAATTACGTGCCTTGCCCCGGGTTAGGGGGCGCAAATTACTTGCCTTGCCCCGGGTGCTGACAACCCACGCTATGCCGCTGCCTGGGGGAGCCTGTCACAGCCAGGAGATGAGAGGCAGAGGCAGGAGAAGAAAAGGTGTAAGAGGAGGGAGAGATGGGTCAAGCTGGTGTGGAATCAATGGCTTCCCTGCCTCTTCCTCCAGCCAAAACCTCCCCTGCTCCACTGTCTCCCAGGACCAGGAGAGGACTGAAGCAGGGGGAGCAGAAGCAGGGGTACATGTGGGCATAGTCCTCGCCTACAACTCAGGTGGGGGAGATATAAAAGTTGAGGTCAGGGGCCTCTCGGATGCAGAGACGGCCTCATTAGATGCCCACACAAGAGTAGCTGAAAGCTGTGGAAATGATGGGCATGCCTTTTCCTAACTTGTAAGCGTGCCTTTGACAATCAAGAGTGAATTCCTGGCATACAAAAGATGAACAGGTCAAATCTGTAATGATACACTGGGCAAAGGATCTGGGACATAATATTCAGATGACAGACCGGGAAAGGTTATGAAAACAGATTTGAAATTTGCACACTGAAAGCAAATTGTATGAAAATGATGTACCGGTGGTATTTGACTCCTAGTAAATTAGCAAAAAGGTATAGAACAAGTACCAAGACCTGCTGGAAATGTAAAGAAAACGAAGGTACCTTTTATCACATGTGGTGGTCATGTAAGGTAATAAAAGCTTTCTGGGAGATGATATATAATGAAATGAAGAAAGTGTTTAAAATAACTTTTGTTAAAAAAAACAGAAGCTTTTCTATTAGAAATTATAGATTCAGACGTTCCGAAGGATCAAAAGAGACTTGTTATGTATGCGACGATAGCCGCACGGATGTTACTAGCCCAGGGATGGGAAGAAGAAAGAGTCCCTACCAGAGAAGAATGGCAAGCTAAGCTGATGGACTACACCAAAATGGCAAAGATGACTGGAAAACTCAGGAACCAAGAGGACAAAAACTTTTTAAAAGGATGGGAAAAAATTGTAAGTTATTTAGGAGACCACTGCAAGCAGATGGAAACATTAGCAGGATTTTAATCTCACCTGTAATAATAATAATAATAATATCTTTATTGTCATTGCCCCCCTTCGGGGACAACGAAATTACTTGACTGCTCCATAAAAACACTAATTAAACAATACAGTATAATACAGCAAGGGAGATTAGATGACTTTCAAAGTCCGGGCTTCCCATTCAGGGCCGAGATCGCTCTGGAGAAGAAGCTGTTCTTAAGACGGCTCGTTCTTGTCTTCATCGTCCTGTATCTCCGTCCCGACGGCAAGAGCTCGAAGAGACAGTGACCAGGATGCGATGGATCTTTTACTATGTCCAGTGCCTTCCTATGGCACCTTGTGGCATAAATCTGCTCTAAGGTGGAGAGTGGGCAGCCAACAATGCTCTCTGCTGCCTTAACAACCCTGCACAACCCCATCCTGTCCTGGGTAGTACAGCTTCCGTACCACACACATAAGCCATAAGTGAGCACGCTCTCAATGGCACAGTGATAGAAGGCAAGCAGCAGTTTCTGCGGAAGATGGTTTTTCCTTAGTATTCTCAAAAAGTACAGTCTCAAATACCATATGGATTGATATAAAATACAGATTATGGAATAATATGCAGCTGTAAATGTTGACAACAGGACCCATGGAGGGGGGGCAAGTCTCAAGATTCAGAGTAATCTCTATATATGGATACGCATTGGGATTGTTATAATTTTATACTTGTAAAATCAAATAAAAATGATTTCAAAAGGAACGGAAAGACTTAATTCCTCACTCTGGGCATTCCCTGCCCAACCACGTCTTGACAGTCAGGAGGCACCCTACAGTTCTTGCCTGTATTTTAGAACTCAGATCCACCTGGCTTTCAAAGCCCGGTTCTTTCTTTTTGTTAAAGTATTACATAGGACAGGCAGGGGGGAAAACCACCCTACAATTTGATCACATCAGTTTATCTGTAATGGGGTTGCACCAGCATTAGCAAATACGTATTTCAAACATGACTGCCGCTCTTCCAGATATCCTTGCGTCTCAAGGGTAATGGAAATCTAATGGCGAAGCAGTAATGTGCAGATATGAAACCTGTGTTTATGTTGCCCGATGGGTTTAATACTTAGCCAAGCAATCAAAGAGAAGTCACCGTTGTGGTTCAGGGAGCAAACGCTGCAATAAAACTCAGGAGAGGCAGGGCTCGTATGCTAATGAGGCAAAGCGTTGCAATTCACCACAAGTCAGCTCCAGCAGCACCATATCATGGTGCCCCTAACTGGCTGGAATACAGTAATTTCCATACAATTAGTTTAATCAGCCAGTTGTTCACGTGAAGTGCAGCAAATAGGTCCTGCAACTTGGAAACAGTGCTTAGCATTAAAAGGAACGGAGCATCGCCGGTGGCAGTTATTGGCAGAACATTATTCTGAACATGCACAGTCTCAGACAAGAGATGGCGCCGTGATGTATTTTGCATTTTTCCTCTGTCCCCTGCCACTCTGAAACCAGATGTGGAGGCTGAGCAGGTGGTTGAAGCCAAAATGCAAAATCGCGTCCTAAGCACATATTATCAAATTATCATTCCCATATCTCAGCGCTGGGCGGTCTTCCCCTTGCTCTCCTTCTTTCCCAGGGGAAACATTGTCTTTGCCTCTGGATCGGTGCAAACAGCAATCTGTGGGAAACCTGAATTGACATTTGCTCTGAATGAGCGCTAAAGAGCAGTTTTCCCTGGGGGAAAGCAGTGGTACAAGAGGAAATATGGATAAGCCCAAATGCTGGAAGAGGTGAGTTAGGCTGAAGAACCCTGCCAACTTACCAGTAGCACTTTAATGCGGCAATGCTTCAATATTTCTAACCGAAAGAAGCCGCTTTTTAAGGTCATGAAGTGCTGGGCTGACACTAAAGGTAAAGGTAAAGGGACCCCTGACCATTAGGTCCAGTCGTGACCGACTCTGGGGTTGCGGCGCTCATCTCGCTTTATTGGCCGATGGAGCCGGCGTACAGCTTCCGGGTCATGTGGCCAGCATGACTAAGCCGCTTCTGGCGAACCAGAGCAGTGCAAGGAAATGCCGTTTACCTTCCCGCTGGAGCGGTACCTATTTATCTACTTGGACATTTACGTGCTTTTGAACTGCTAGGTTGGCAGGAGCAGGGACCGAGAAATGGGAGCTCACCCCATCGCGGGGATTCGAACCGCCGACCTTCTGATGAGCAAGTCCTAGGCTCTGTAGTTTAACCCACAGAGCCACCCGCATCCCATGTGCTGACACTACTGCAGTGTCATTCCTTTGGACCAGAGTGTCCCAAATTCCTATATAACCTTGCTCACTGAGGGGTGAGTGTTTTCTACATTGGTCTCTCAGGCTAGTCTTCATCGCAAACGGTTAGAAGTACCTGAAGGCAAAGCTTTCTGCAATCCAATCTGATACTGACTTGTGAAGCACGGAATTCAGTATTCAGGTGAAAGCAGCATCTGCAACAGAAGATTGTATTATGTAATAATACAATTGTATTATATAATACAAAAATATTATATAAATAACGAGGAGGACAGAAGTCATGTGGTGACATAATTATTTGTGGGCATTATTACATTTGGCGGACTAAGAAGAGCAGACAAAGGTAGTGATTATGGCTAGGACATTATGCCCTCTAGGACTAAGGTATCATAAGAAAGTCAAGGAGACATGCTCTTGGATAAGGGTGGTTATGTAATTTCAGCAAAGAAGGCAAATAAGATCACCCCCTTTGTTAAGTACAGCAAACATGCACTCGAGAACAAAGCAGTGGGTGGCACTCTTTAGGAGTAATAATAACAATAATTTTATTATTTGTACCCCACCCATCTGACCGGGTTGCCCCAGCCACTCTAGGTGAGGTGAGTAACCCAGGTCTCTCTAAGCTTAAATGCTGTTGGTGTCCAGTCTTATCCTAGGCATGTTTACTCCTAAGAGTAAACCCCACCCAGACTTGGGGGTCCAATCAATGGTTGGGATAATAGACATAGAAACCACATGGTCCTCAGGAATCCTGCCCAGTGCATACTTCATATTTGTACCAGCTCAGCAACCGGCTTGTTGGGAATTTGCCCATGCCCATAACATTAACAGTAAGGGACGCGGGTGGTGCTGTGGGTTAAACAACAGAGCCTAGGACTTGCCGATCAGAAGGTTGGCGGTTTGAATCCCTGTGACGGGGTGAGCTCCCGTTGCTCAGTCCCAGCTCCTGCCAACCTAGCAGTTCGAAAGCACGTCAAAGTGCAAGTAGATAAATAGGTACCGCTCCGGCGGGAAGGTAAAGGGTGTTTCTGTGCACTGCTCTGGTTCGCCAGAAGCGGCTAAGTCATGTTGGCCACATGACCCGGAAGCTGTACGCCGGCTCCCTTGGCCAATAAAGTGAGATGAGCGCCACAACCCCAGAGTCGGCCACGACTGGACCTAATGGTCAGGAGTCCCTTTACCTTATAACATTAACATGCATTTAACTGCAGCCTTCTCCTTCCTGGGAGTCTGCCACCAGTGGATTGGCTTTCTTTTTGCAAGAGCTTTCCAAGTATTTTTCCAAATAAAATGGTGGGAAAGGGACATCATATGCAGCTCGTTTTTAACAGTGGATATTTGTCACATTTTGTTTGTGTTTTAGTGGCTTTCTGCACGTCCACTGTCCCACCCAGGCACATAGAGACAGGCCATAAACCCTCCACTTGGAGCACAAAGAGCAAAAAAGGTGTATCAGATGTGTTACGGAAAAATCTAGGTGTGAGGCTGCTCAGTCACCCAGTTCGTCGGGCAGAGCCCGCGGGTCCCTGCAGAATAAAGGAAGGAGTCCAGCCACCAAGGAGTCTAGCAAATAGCTGTAGACCAAAGTTTATTGCGCAACAGGTTCAAAGAGGAATTTTGAACCCCAAGGATGGGGTGACAATGACTTTTATTATTATTATTTTTTAAACTGATATTTATTTGAAAAAATTTTAAAAAATTACACACATACAAAAAAACAAGACAGAAAAAAAGATAAAACCATCATTCTCAAATTCTCCACTTTCAATACCTTCTTTCTTTGACCTCCTCCTCCTCCCTTTTCTTGTATCCTGATTAATAATAATCGTAGCAAATCCTTTCCATAATTCATAGTATTCTGTCATTACATTACCTTAATCTATTTTCATCTTATCTTATAGAAAACCTTAAAGTTTAAAACTTAAATCTTATTTTTACCAACTTCTCCTAGCCATAACATTCTTACCAAATTCTTTAGACATTTTTACAAGAGCCAAGTAATTTCATTTCAACATTTTTCTAGCATTCATCAATTTTATAGAACAATCCTAATGATAAAAAAAAAAGAAATAAACAATCCAATCTTCATCCAGCGTCCCTTCCTCCTGGTCCTGGGTTTTGTCAGTCCTTTTTAACTTATTAATCTAGCACATTAACCTGGTGGTCTTATATCCGAAGCCCTCAAGTCTCTTCCATGTCCCTTCTGCAGCTCTTCTTCATATTTTCCTTTCATTCGTGGGAACTCCAGCTTGGTAATGTTTTTGACCCTTTTCAACAAATCAGCCCCTTTTCCATAGTCCAGACTAGACTCCATGTGGTATTTAAAAACATGTTTCAGATTCCCTCCAAAATTGAGAGCCCCCACAGCTCCAAACATCTGACGGCCCATTGCCAGACTCGAAAAGTCCAAATCTCCCTGTATAGGGGTCTGTCCAACCCCCATTTCCAAACCAAACCAAACTTTATCTTTCCAAGTCTGGTTTTTCCAAGTTCATTTATCAAATCCAAAAATTTATCTTCCTGCTGGGCCGCAGCTCCCTCCATCTCTGGCGCCCAAGATTCAGCAGCATCCTCTTCTCTCAACTGTTCTGTCATGGCACACTCCTGTTTTAGCTCCTGGGTGGGCTCCATATAATTTCCCACTACCTGTTCAAAGGTTCTGGCCGCATTAGTCATCAAATCCGTCTTCTGGCTTAACTGATCCAATAGGGCATTTATTTTGCAGAGAGCACCCAACAGTGCTTCTGAAGACATTGTCCTGCAAGGTCACAAATCCTTTCCCACGGTTGTAATCTGTGACAGCTGCAAGCTCCCAGGAATTAGTTACAATTTCACAAATCTGCAACACCCTTAACAAACCACGGTTTCAAACTTCTTTGGAGAATTAGATTTAAAGTGCTGTGACTGTTTGTTATTGCCTTAAATGTATAGTGCAGATTGAATCAGGGCTACAGTACAGGGGGTTTGCTGAAGGCTAGAATACGTCTCTCTGTCACCCTATTACACTATCAGGATGATAAAGATTTTACTTTCATATCATCAGTGACATCAATGGTGTTTTATAGCATAAGCAAAAAAGACAATCCCATGACTCAAGAATGCATAACAAAGGGCCTTCCGGGTTGGCGCCACCGGCAATGGCGGAATTCCTCTGATCGGGAGGAATTTGCCTCGTGGAAATTCGGGTCTGGCCACCACGGCGAAGGCGGAGGCCCACTAAAAATCACAGGCGGGTGAAGCCTGTGAACGTGGGATTCGGCGGGCACCTTTTGCGCCTCCCCTACTCGCAGGGAAA